TGGAAAGCGTGCGGGTCCCCAAGCTGTGTCTCCAGGAGCCGCTCCACCCGAGCCGCGGGCGGTGCGCGCATGTGGCGGTGGGTGTGTAGATACCGCTGTGGATCAGCCGGCTAATGCGTGGAAGGCTCCGAGCAGGGCCGGCGCGAGACCACCGCCGCCGATGTTTGCGTTCCTGGTTCCCGGGCTGTGCGTGCTGTGGCTGGAGAGTGAGACCGGCGCGTGTCCCCGTGGGCTGTGTGTGAACAGGGGCGCGTGACGGCGGCGGGGTTCCCGGGGCGCAAGCCTGTGGCCCGGGAGGTGTGTCTCCAGGGGTGTGTCTGCGTGGTGGTCGCGGGCGTGTGCGCCCCGGGTGGGTTTATCGTGGTGGGACGTGTGGTTCGTACGTGTTGGGACCAGGTGGCGGGCGTGCGTTGTGCGCACGGGGCCGGTGTGCACCGGTGGGCAGTAGTGTGAGCCGTAGGCAGGTCTCACACGCGCGACCGTGGACGGCTGCGTGTGTGTTTGTCCACGAGTGGGGTGTGAGGTGGGTTGTGGAGGGTGTAGATGGGGCCCGCCGGGCGGGCGCGGTTTCAGCACCACGGACAGCGCGCCGGGCCTGGGAAGGCTGCGATTTTCCCGCCTGTCTCTCCTCCTCCAGGCCTGGGCACCCCTGAACGGCCCCCATGGACCCTGGACCCCCAGAACTGGGCAGGGACGCTGTGGGGATCTCTCTTCCCTTGACTTCTCTGCACCCCTAGTGATTGGCTGGAGAAACTGAGGCCTGGGGCACACACGTCCTGGACAGCCTGGAGGAAGGCCCTGGAATCCTCCTCCCACCCCAGGTCTTCCTGAGAGGAAAACACAGCTTTGACCAGAAGCCTGGATTTCGAGACAGGCCAGGGGTGGGAGGAGCCCCAAAACCCCCAGAAGGGCTGTGTCCGGCCCCTCCCACCCTGCCTCCGTGCCCCACTGGGAGAGCTTGGTCAGCGTCTGGGCTCTGGCCTGTGAAATGCGGACAGTGAGCAGGAAGGACTGGACTTCCAGGGCTGCTGGTCGGCCTGGCCCCACTTCCAGTCGGGCAGTGGCACCGCCTGGCCAGAGAGGGACGTGGTGGGGAGGGAGCTGCAGAGAGCGCCCACTCCCCTTCTTCGTCCCCTCCAGCATGACCGCCGACAGCAATGGGTGCACCACAGTGCAAGGGCTGGCAGGTGGAGGCCCACGTTAGCCACTCCCTCCCCTGGGCAGTTCCAGTGACCCCCTGGCTGCAGAGGGGCAGTCGGTTCCCTGGGGGGCAGGTGGGCTGATGGCTGATCCCAGGGCTTGGGGGGAAGGCCGGTAGGAGGAGTGAAGCCCCCTCATCCTTCCACCCACCTTGCACGCGTCGCCTGGAGGCCTGGGCAGGCTGTGGCCCCGCTCTGTGCTATGAGGTATTGAGGGCTCAGAGGCCCCCTGTGTGGGCCAAGTGCGGCGTCACCCAGGCAGACAAGTGTTGAAGTGGAACTGAGCAGGCAGGGAATGGGGTTAGCGGGGCCTGTCTTCAGGACTAGGGGAGTTACGGCAGTCAGATTTTAAAAAAGGATTTCGATGTTGCCAAGCTGGGTGCACGTGGCCACTATGACCCTCCCCAGGCTTGGGACCTGTGCCCCCTTTCGAGTGTCCTGAATCAGTGTGGAAAAAGACCCCCAGAAATATCTCAAAAGCTCCCTAAGCGCCCGCTGGGCCGGGGGCTGTTGGAAGCACCTCTGAGGATGAATTTAATAATATTAATTATTGTAAGGGTGAGGAGGGTGCTGTTGCTAACCTGTTTTACCCAGGAGGAAAGAGAGGCCCACATAAGTCATTTGGTCAGAGACACACAGCTCCTGAGGGCCGGATGTGGGATTCTGTCTGCACAGCACAGCCCAGGTGTCCACACTCCTGACCGGCAGGCGGCCAGCCTCTGCCTAGGTCCCATGCAGACCGAGGGGAGGAAGAAGGCATTCTGGGGGCGCCTAGGGGTGGGTGGTGGGTGATATCTGTGTGAATATTCATTTTTAATTTTTTTTTTTTTTTGAGACGGAGTCTGGCTCTATCGCCCAGGCTGGAGTGCAGTGGTGTGATCTTGGCTCACCGCAACCTCTGCCTCCCGGGTTCAAGGGATTCTCCCACCTTAGCCTCCCCTGTAGCTGGGATTACAGGCGCCCGCCACCACGCCCAGCTAATTTTTGTTTTTTTAGTAGAGACGGGGTTTCACCATGTTGGCCAGGATGGTCTCAAACTCCTGACCTCAGGTGATCCTCCTGCCTTGGCCTTCCAAAGTGCTGGAATTACAGGTGTGAGCCACCGTGCCCGGCCTGTGAATATTAACTTTTTGAAGCCATGTATGCAGTGCTGGGAGGGGCCTTTCTGTGTCTGCGTTTTCACATTTGCCCTTTCTCCTCACAACCTGGGGGTGTAGTAACTGTTCCCGCTGGAGCGGCATCTGCAGCGAGATTTAAGAGGAAGAAGGAGAGGGCAGCTCCTGCCCCAGCCCCCAGGTCCCCGCACAGAGGCCAGCAGCGTCTCCCTTCCTTGAACTCCTCTTGTCTCTTGCCAGTGGATCCCATCCCGGGAAATTGGCCCGAGCCGCCTGGCACCAGGAAGGGGATCATTAGTGTTTGGTGAACCGGAACCGCCCCCACTCGGCTGGGCTGAGGAGGCGTGGAGGATGCAGGGGAGCCCTGGACGGGAGGAGGCATTTGAGGTGGCCGGGGGGGTGATGGGTATGTGTGCAGAAAGGTGGCCCAGCCTAGGGAAGAGCCAGGAGCGGAGCTGGGCATGGAGCCGGGCCAGGAGGTAGCATCGTGGAGCGTCTGGGGGCCGGACCCTGCTGTGTAGGGTGTTTTGGGGCAGCTTACAGCAAGCGAAGGGGCCTCTACGTTTGCAACTGACTCAGGAATCAGGCCCCAGCTGGCTTCAGGCCCAAGGCCTCCTGTACCTGGCTGGGTGTCTTGGCTCCTCACTGGGCCCCTCTGCCTCAGTTCCCCCAAATGCAAGGTAGGGGTGGTATGAGAGAGAGGGCTGTCTCCATCACGCCCAAGTCTGCCTTGCTTCTGTGCTTGGAAGTGGCCTCTTACACGCCTCTCGTCCCAGCTCCCGTATACAGCAGGCGCCACATATTTGCTGAATTTGCTGAGGGGCAGAGCACGGGTCCTGGGCAGACGTGGGTCTGGATTTCAGCTCTCAGGCTGGGCAATTGGCCCCTTTGGAAGTGCAGTTGGTGCCAGGGCTGGGTGTCTCACGCCTGTGACCCCAGCACTTTGGGCAGATCACCTGAGGTAAAGAGTTTGAGACCAGCCTGGCCAACGTGGTGAAACCCCGTCTCTACTAAAAATACAAAAATTAGCCGGGCATGGTGGGCATGGTGATGGGTGCCTGTAATCCCAGCTAACAGGGAAGCTGAGGCAGGAGAATCGCTTGTACCCAGGAGGCGGAGGTTGCAGTGAGCCGAGATCATGCCATGACACTCCAGCCCGGATGACAGAGTGGGACTTGGTCTCAAAAAGAAAAAAAAAAGTACAGTTGGTTCATTCATGAGGCCTCTGGGGCTGTGGAGGTATCTAGACCCAGGCCTGATGTCTGGAAGTCCGCAGAGGCGTGCCGCACGCTTCCCTGGGGTGCTGGTGGAAAAGCAGGTTCAAGGACCCAAGTTCAAGGTTTTGAGTTCCGGAGGTTCAAGTTGCCGTCTTTGTAGGTGATTACGGTTCGTGCCTGAATTGGAAGAGGCGTGAAAACCAAGGAAGGAAGGGGTTTGGCCTCGTGGAACCCCCAGAGCTGCGGCAGGGTCCTTCTGCTTCTCCCGGAGCAAAATTAGTTTAAAAATAAGTATAGTTCATTCCTACTCCCTTCACCCCAACCACCGCTGATTCTAAAGGCCACACAGGTCCACTTGGGAAAGCCTGAGTCGTGCAAAGGAGGGTGTCTCAGCAGGAGGGGGGCTGGGGCTGGGGCTGGTGGGCGTCTCGGCAGGAGGGGGGCTGGGGCTGGTGGGCGTCTCTGCAGAAGGGGGGCTGGGGCGGGTGGGGACACGGAGGCCCAGGGAGGGGCGGTCTGTCTGAGGCTTGCTGTCATCCACTCCCCACCCCCAGTGTCACCCAGGGGCTGGGCAGGCCTGGCAGGGTGGAGACGGGGGCAGATCCGAGGTTTGTGCCCTGGGAGCTCTGGGGGGCACAGGGCAGGTGTCGGGTGGAGAGAGGCTGGTGGCTTCCTGACTGCCCTCGGTCCAGCTGCAGGGCTAAGTGCCCCGTGGCCGGCCTGCAGTCTCCTGCTGCTGATTTTCTGGTCCATGTTCCTGAGTCAGCTTCAGCTGGGGAGGCCCCGTGTGAGGGGAGACAGACGAGATGCTCCCCAAAGCCAGGTTCTGTTATGTCTCCAAGAGGACAGTCCGGGGAGGGGCTGCTCCAAGACCCACCAGGACAGGCGGCCCCCGGGCCCCACCCCAGATGGCTGAGCGGGTCAGTGGGAGATCAGCCTGGGGGTGCAGCTCTGCAAATCCACGGTGATGAAACCATGCATTAGGGCCTGGGAATAAACCCCCCATTATCCCGGTGAGGGGGGGATGGCTCCGGGGGCGGGGTGGGGCGAGGCGAGGGTTTCTCTGGCTC